TGTCGGGGGAGGCTGGGCATGAGCAGGGCCCTCAAGATACCCCTCAGGAGCTCCTCTGCTCCTGTGGATTGAGACCTTCATGAACCACCCTTTTACCAGTTTTACTATCTCGGGAGTTTCCGAAGTTTTTGAAGCAAAAAAAGCTTGGCGTGACACAGGCGGCAGGTATTTACCTGGTGCCTGAAAATCGAGCTGTTTGCCAGCAGCTTAGCCCAGCCCCTTCCAGAAAGGAAGGGTGAGGCTGAAAGTACCAAACCCAGGCCCTGCTTTGGGCAGGAGGGTGGGATATCTCCCAGCACATAGGGATCCAAGGACAGGGGGGTTGGGAGAAAGATCTGCAGGCTGGGACACAGGAAAACTAGGTCATATTCCTGATCTGCTGAAGAATATGAATATATATTGTTATTATCCCTGGACTAATCACTTAATCTCTATATGCCTTCGTTTCCTGTTAGCAAATGATACTCCTTATCTTTCACCTCTCATCTCAGCAGAGAAAAGAGTTTGTCTTTTACTTTGTATCTTATTACCGTTCTTTGTCTGGCGGCTGGGGCCCTCTACCTTGATAAAATAAGTAATTGAATTTAGATTAAATGGTCTAACATAATCCTGCCCAGTGGTTACTAAAACACTTGAATGAAAGTTCATTCTGAGCCTGTCTTTCCATTTCCTCATAAGGCCAAGACATGAAGTAATTAGATGTAGACGTAGCTTGTTATTGTAGCACAATGACAGAGATCAGTGGTTATTGGTAGGAATGGCTTTTATAATCTAGTTTAATGGTCATTTACCTTTCAGTGACCTTGGTGTCAGGCAAAATTGGCAGCTCTTTTGCAAGGAATGTGCTTCCTCAATGAGGTCTTTGCAAGCTGCTTCATTCTTGGCTCTAGCTTCTCATGAACTAGGATAGACACTGCTGCAATGCAAGAGAGTTTTCTGTCTGCAAAGAAAGGCATAGACTCCTGCCAAAAGAAGCCCTTTTAAGTGCTCTCCCTGCTGCCACTGAATTGCTGTTGAAACAGATCAGTCGTGTTTAAAGCATGTCTTTGCTTATTGCTGCGACCAAAGTTGCAGACCTCAAACCAAGAGAGTCTGCAGTGTGCAGAGGCAGCCCAGGAGTTTCTGTAAAAAAGGCTGCATTGTCTTGGAGTAAAAGGAGGGAGAACATATCATCCAGTTAAGTTCATGCAAGAGGAAGGAGTTGGTAGTTCTGATTGTTACACCCCCCCCCCCCCATAAGTCCTTACTATATCAGTAAAGATGTTATATTTCTATACACTTTAAAAACATGATCATTCACTCACTGCAGATGCAAATCAAGTACGTTTTTGAGTGACTGTGATGCTCCTACACCTCTCTCCATCATGTGTTGTGAAATCCTAATGGGTTTTGTCCAGTTACTGATGTCTGTTGCCATGGAGAAGAACATGACATGAGCTGTGCTGTGATTTCTAATGGTACCCCAGATCTGTGGCCATGCTTTGTAAGAAACCAGAGTAGGTCATATCCTGAGGCCTGAGAGGATTGGACTCAGTACAGGTATTCACAGTGACCTTGGCCAAGCCTCTTAATTCTTCTGACAGTCTTAACCTTAGAGGTAATCTCCTGTTTTCCATGAAGCAGAATGAACTTTTGCAAATGCTATGGAGGTATTTATTTGAGATGTTGTCAGAAAGATTACTTGAGTTACAAAGAAGTGCTATGAGAGGTGAGAAGAGTGTGTAGCTGTGGAAAAAGGTTTCACAAGAGCACCTCTAAGAATTGCACTGCCTTGTGACTTGGGCTTCTGACTACTTCTGATTCTCTCATCCTGCTGCTCACTGCCATTTGATTTTGCAAATATGTTCCTCCCATCTGCAACTATTGCCCTGCGGAGCAAGCCTACCTACAGGAATTACCTCTTTATCTGCCCTCATTTCTAAACTGCTAAGGTAAGGAGAGCAAAACAGGGCAGCTTGGAAGGAGAATCATTTGTTTCAGGCTGCTTTGGATAACCACCAACCTGGTTTTACCATGAGCACATTCCATACATCATCACCACAGCATGATAGGTCTTTAGCTGAGATCAGTCAGTAACTTCCAGCATTTGAAATCCTGAGTTGGTTTGATGTGTAAGGGCTCTCTATTGTTTTTATTCCTATTGACCTGCTGGGACCTGCTGTGATACTGGCTTGCACAGAGGATCTTACAGACATATTAATTCTTCTTACTTCCCACATTCATCAGTCTCTGATAAGTATTAACTTGTTCTATTAGATTAGCTCTGATATAAGAGAATGAATGGTCAGTGGCAGTTTATTTTTGCAGGTATCAGGTTTGGATTGGGAATGCCCAGCTGAGATCAGTGGGCTACATGCATAGGAGCAGATGGTTTATATACTGCTTCTTGCTGGAGAAGAGCAAGATTAATCTCTCTTGAGTCCCTGAACTCTGAATCCATTCAATACTGACAGAGTCTTTCCACTGACCTCTGTGGCCCCAGGATCACATCCTAAATGAGCTGCTTTGAGTCTCTAGAAACCCGAGTTCAGCTTTGGTGGGCTGGAAAATGTAACCTCCTGCATGGGCTGTGCTATTCATAAGCACTCAGCCCTGTGTGTGCTCTAGCTGTGGATGCCTGGGAGAAGAATAAAGTCATTTTCTGCAGTTGTGGGGGTGGAGGAGGGAATGGGAACTGTACCCCCTTCCCTGCAAACCCACTGCCATGACATCCACTTGTGCAGATGTTGGGAGCTGACCCGCTTCTGAATTTTCAGATTCAGGTTAGGTGTTCTTTTGTGCTGATATCACTCCTGACACATAAATGTTCTGTCCAGCTGGTCTGACCAGCAGGAACTGACCTCAATTTAAATTGAAGTGGGCCATTGAAGCAGATGAGTATAGCAAGGCTGTGACTTATCCTAGTGGGGTTTCCTAAACTTAGAAGAAACAGGATCCCTAGAGCTGGAGAGCCAGTTATGAGTAGGTTTAACACCAAATCTCACAGTTCATTGCTTAGTGGTATCAGTGGCATCCCAATATTGTTGTCAGCAAATACTACCCATTTCCTCAGAGTTTATAGAAAAAAGCTGCTGTTTATCGAAGTGATGCTTGTTTTCTCTGGGCAGAGCAGCAGCTAGCAAAACCATTCAAGTCAACACAGCACCATGCAGGTGTTTTCCACTCCCTACTGATCCTAAATCAGACCAAAGATAATTAATTTGGTGTAGAGGGTATAAAACGAAGTGTGAGTAACTCCCAGTTTGTCAGTTCCTCTGGAGCTGTTATTGATTGATCTGGAGTCATTAGACCTTTACAGTCAAGCTAGTGAAGATTAATACAGTTTGAGAGCAGTAGCAAGTTTTCTCAATTAGTGTCTAGCAACATAAACCTTTACAGTATAATTTGTGCTGTATTTATCAATTTTCAAATGTGTATTCACCCAAGGAAGGGTTGCCTCTTGGCTAGAGAGGGTGGAGTAAGAAGGTGATGGCTTTCTCCTGCCCTTTAACAAATGTTCTTTGTGACTTTGGAGATGATAGCTGTTTGAGCTAGAGATACTAAGATGTTTTGTATTATGAAACCAAAATATTAACACTTTCCCAGTTTGTTGGCGTGAACTGTGACTCATAGGGGTACGGTGGGATCATACAGTGTGGAAATGCTGTAAGTAAAGGAAATGGAGCATTGTCTGTCCATTTAAGCTGTCCATAAGTCACATTCCCTGGTGTTGTGCTGAGGAGTCACTGCCTGGCTGGCAGCGTGGTGGTGTCAAACGTGAGCTTCGCTTCCCATCTTCTCCACAGATCCTCAGCATCAGGGAGCGATGGAGCGGGGGAGCCTCCAGAGGGGAGGAACAGTCCCGGCTGGGTTTGGCCTGTTTTTCCCACACACTGTCATTCTTGCACCGGCGCTTCCTCTCTCTCCACATAATACCCTGTTATTTCCTCTCCAGAATGGGCTCCTGCCACTGCTGCTAATTAGCCCGCGATAAACCTTGGTGTGAACAAAAGCAAGCAATTAAACGTCTGTTGCTTCAGCGTGAGCCCTGTCAGAGAAGTGATTTGTTGGTGGCAGAGCTGTGTAGCACCTCCCTGGGAGGAAAACAAGCCCATTGGCCTGGCTCAGCTGCTGGTGCTGGGCAGTGGTGTGTCTGAGCTGCTTGTTTTGGGTATGCAGGGATGTCTTTGGTACAACGGGGCTTCCCGAGGCCCTGTGAGGTGCTGCTTAAGATGTTAAGATGCTGTGAGATGCTTAAGACTTATGTCTTAAGTTCCACCTGGCACAATGATCTGTGAGGCCACTACCCAAGCAAGATGGCTTGAGAAGCTTCTGAATTGTGGTTTATGTATGCGGGGCTTTGGGGAATTTTTTTTTTTTTTTTGGCGGTCTTTTTGGAAGACACACATAATAAACGTTTTCAAATCAATACAGAGAGAGAAATAATCATAGAATGAATCATAAAATCGTAGATTGGTTTGTGCTGGAAGGGACCTTAAGTATCATCTGGTTCCAACCTGCCTTCTGCAGGCAGGGGCACCTTCCACTAGACCAGGTTGCTCAGGGCCCCATCCCTTCCAAATAAGGATGAGGCTTAGAAAGAGGAAGAAAAAGGCAGGGCCTTTTGTAGATCCCAAGCCAAATGAGGCTTGATTGATGTTTGCCAGGACTGAAGATGCAGATATCAGAATCTTGCAAGCTGCTTTCATGTAATCTCAGCCCTAATGCTCAGAATCCCTCAGGTTTTCCCACTTAAGGAAAAAGTCCTATCGGAAGAAGAATAGGTATTTACATAGGATTTCGCTGATGTATGAACAGACTAAGGGAAGTCAGAGACTTTTTCAGTTTGGGACCCACTTTCTTTCCAAAAATAGAGGTAGGGCTCAAGCTGGAAAAGTAAATATTAATTATTCCTGGGCAGAAAAATGCAGAGAGTCTTGGAACACATGGAATTGATGTATGTCCTCTTTTGACACTCAACCCAACTGCTTTGCCAAAAATTGTCTCTGTTTCTGTTGTAGCTCTCGAGCAGCTGCTCACAGAGCTTGAAGATTTTCTGAGGATACTGGACAAGGAGAACTTGAGCAGCACTGCTGTTGTGAAGAAGAGCTTCCTCTCCGACCTTCTACGAGTCTACACCAAGTCCAGTGGTACGGCGTGGAAAACCAAGGATGGGGCAGTGGGCTGTCATGGGAATTGCTGCAGGGTCTTGAAGCAGCATTTTTGTGGAGGCTGGTGGGAAGAGGAGACATGAAAATTAGACGGAGAAAATGAAACTGAGTTTATTTTTGCAGTGACCTCTAATTGTTTATGTAAAATTACTATAGTTATGTGTCCAGCTCTACAAGCAAAGGATTCCCAAGATTCCTGATCCTTTCTGTTTTCCATATTAAATCTTAAGTTTATTTAATCCACTTTGTAAGATACACAGGATGTACTGTTTGGCCAAGTTAATGTTTAAGTAGAAATTTTAACTTACGGAATTTCCTGACTATAAAGCACTTAATTTTTCTGCTTTTTATTATTGCTTGGGGTTTTTCCTGCACGTTTTCTCAACCAACATTCCCTCCTCAAATGTACTCAGCAGAGACACTTTTTACATCTGTCCTTGTGGAAAAACTTAGCAGTGTAAAAGCAACGTGTGGTTATAGAGTTCACTTTTCCCTTTGGTTGCAGGTGGCGATGAGGAGTATATTTATATGAACAAAGTGACAGTCCATAAACAGCAGGGTGACCAAGACAAACAAGATAAAGGTAGGGAGCTAAAAATTAATGTTTGCATCGTGTCTAACAGGGTGATGAAGCCTTCCTCTTCTGGTACCCTGGCAGCTCTGAGGGCTGTGGTGCAGTTGATGGTGTGGAAGGACTTCCATTTTCATAACATTCCCTTGGAAATAGCAGTCCTTGCCAACACTGTGAGGTTATTCCTGGAAGTAGCACTTTGGAGGTCGTTATTTTGGGATAAAACTGTTGCCTTCTAAGGCTTGAAGCTCCAGTGGCTGAAATATTTAAAGAAGCCTTCATGCTTTCTTTGGCTGCAAAACAAGTCACTTCACCTCTTTGAGACCTCAAAAAGTATGTGTATTCTTTGCTGTGTTGCTCTGCTCTGGCCCAGACGGTCTGTGTCATCCCTGAGGCAAGTTCCTGGGGCAAAGCTTGCACCCTCACCATCTGCACAGGCAGAGCACCTTCATCTCCCAGGGATGCGAGAGTTCTGTGGTGTACAAGCCAAGAAACTAAACCTAGATAAAATATTCATTTCCAATTCAGATTTCCCAGGTTTTGAATTTGTAACGCAGCAAGGAAGGTAATTGCCTAAAAATGTTCTTCCTCTTTGAAGTTCATCATGAAAGTTGTTCTTGATAATTGTGTGGAGTGCGATCATTAGCGACACAGCGTCCTTAATGCACACCTAGTTAGAGGCTGATCCTAGCCCAGAGTTTCCAGTCAAAAGGGATGAGACAAGGACACCTCAGTGCAGCCTGCTCTTAATGTGCAGGTCCTGCAGTGGTTGGGATCACTCCACCTCCGCAGTTGTTTGTTTTGGTTTTGTTGCTTTGTGGCGGGGCTTTTTGTTTGTTTGCTTTGTTTTGTTCTTTAAACTACCTGCAGCTGAATTTGGGTTAACTTCAAAAGTCCCTGAAGACAGGATGTCCTCCCAGATTACACGTGCAGCCCCAGCATGACCTCCAGACAGGGCCCTCTGGGTGATGCTGTAATGCTCTATAACAGGATCACAGAGCTTCCTGGTGGCACCCAGCAGCTGAGCAGCAATAGAAATGTCTCTTTATACGAGTTCATTTGGGTGGATAAAGCAAGGCTTGCACTCATCCACCATGCTGAAACACAGGGCAAATTTCAAAAACTTTATTTTTGGGTTTAGGTTCTTTTATTTGAGACTTTTCCCTATCAAGGCCATGAGCCTGCCCACTCAGTCACTCCCTGTGGGACCTGGCACTTCTCTCTTTCTCTGTTTTCAACAACCTCCCTATTCCAAGTAAAACTTCTGAGTTATTTGGAAATGCTGAAGTCAGTAAGACATGTGTGGGATCTTAGCCACAGCTGCAGCTGGGTGTTACACCCTGATCCTGCCTCTGTAACTGGATGGAAAGGTCTGTGCCTGCAGGTTCAGGCCGAGCAGGCAGAGGGGGCCCCGGTGCCCACTGGGGGTAGGGGGTATGATATGGATCTCCCAGTGATTATGAAGCTCCATTTGCCCCTTTCAGCTACTGCCAGTCTGTGCACCAAAGGCCTCTGATGGGATGGGGGGACCACGCTTTTGTGGCTGAGGCCAACAGGACCCCTCGTGCCCTGCAGAGTTTCTCCACCACAGTAGCTGTGCTCGAGTGTGCTTGAGCGTGCTCTAGCAGTGTAGGGTGAAGTGCTTTCCAAAGTGGTAGTACATCAGCTCCAAAAGTCCCACCTCCAAACTTCAAAGTATGCTATTTCTACAAAAACTGAATTTCACCGCTCTCTGCATCTGCTTGCAATTTCATCGCTGAGGATTTAAGCTGAACACAACGCTGCTTTTGAGGTGCCTTTTTATGGCACATTAATTGAATTCACTGCTGTGGGTGATGAAGGCACCAGCATTTACTTGATCTCGTGTACTAGAGAAACACAGTAAGTCTCTACCCTGAAAGTCCACAGGGCTCTTCAGTGAGCCATATGCCATCTCCTTCTGGAAGTCAGCACTGTGGGGCAGGAGTCTGGGAGATGGGACTGATGTGGTGGACACTGAAGTCCTCTTAGCCCAAATACCAGGCGACATTCAGTTTTACAAAGAACAGAGAGCACAGATAAATAACAGTTAGTACAGATGTGAATTTTAGCAGGATTTTGGCTGGGGTTTCTTCTTCCTTATCTTTTCTAAATTCTCTCCAAACTCCAGGTTTTAGGGAGACCTCTTTATCAGAGGACACTTGCAAAGTGTTAATGCTCGTCTAGGGAAAAATTCTCCTTCCCTCCCATCTCAGTAAGGAAACAGCCTGAGAGATATGGTGCTGGTATGTGTAGCCAGGGAAGAGAGTGCCACGTTGTTGCTCCTTTACAGAAAAGGCCAACAACCTCCAACAGCAGCCTGTAGGTACGACTCTGGCAGTATAATCATGGGCTATTTTGGCAGGTGGATCTCCCTGTGATCAGTTGTTGTCATAGGCTCGCCTGCTTTACTCTGAACAGTCTCACCTGCTTTAGTGTGAGCTTTACAAGACATCCAGCAGCCCTACTTGTGGGGTGCAGACAGCTGCTTGGAGATGGTGTCTGTTCATCCACAGACCTCTATGTCCTCATGACTTACCGAAGTCAGCCAGTGCTGATGACCAGGAGACCAGCATCAAAGGGAGAAATCTGTCACAAGAGACGTGTTTTGGACTTTTGTGCCATCGGGCCAGGCGCTGCAGGCTGCAGCCTGGCAGGTCAGAGCTGTCATTGTGGCTTCTGAGCCCTGTGAACAGAGTAATGTGGTTTCCAGCTTCTATTTTTAAAGCCCAGAAATACGCAGCAAAGTTCCAGCTCATATCTTCTGATCACAGTGCTGACTGTTGCTGGGCACTGTGTGATGCCTTGGAGGTTTCTGTGTGTGCCTGGGGAATGTGGCTGGAGCATCAGCAGGTGACTGGGGAGCTGCAGCATCAGCTCACTCCAGATTTTGGACCTAATTCCCCTACTTAACTTACTGGACTTGCAATATCTGGACACCTTAGACTCATTTCTCCAAGGTATTTGATGACAAACACTGTAAAAGGGAACTTTCCCTCTGCACAAGTTGATGCCTTCAAAGTCCATAATTTTCTGAGCATTACTGCATTGCACTGTCTCAGAGGTCATGGGATTTGGGCACTTGTTTGAGGCCACCCAAGGGTTCTGTGGTGGAGGAAGAGGGGCTGAACACAAGTTTTCTGAGCCTTCAGTGTAACCCCTCCAGCTACTGAATCACTCTGCATTCAGCTGCTTGGAAAATCTGACTTTCCAGAGGCAGACCCAGATCGCCTGGAGCAGTTGTGCTGCCATATGCCCTTTCAAATGTTTGGCCTTGGCTGCTTCAAGGGCAGCTCTTTCCTCAGCAGTGATTGTTCTGTTCGTGGCTGGATTTTTTAAGCTCTTGTGCACTCATCTGAAAAGCCACCTTTGCAATTTACCCTGGGAGCAGGTTGGTGCTTGAGAAAGGCAGCAGAGGAGCGGATAGTCATTGACCTGTCATGCTCACAGCAGCAAGGATCAGAGCTAGCAAGGACTAAAGTGCTGTGGATTTCCAGATACTGTGTAGTGTCTGCCCATGCTGCTTCTCAAGACCCTTTAAAGTCTCAGCAGCGAGTCTGGCCTTCATATAAGGGAAAACATGCCCTAAAACCAGAGGTCAGCTTTTTTGCTGGGTGTCCTAGTTTCACATTCCTGGCTATGGCCTAAAATGACATGGTGGCCCTGCAGCACTGCCTGTAATTGTCACTGTGCTGCCTCCTGAAATAGCACCTCGCTGCTCCAGCACAGCCCAGGGTAGCGAGTGTTCTGCTGGGAGGTGCCTCATGTCATCAATATAATTGTGATTCTGGCTTGCAGTGCTGGATCAGAGAAACTCCTTGACCAATGGAGACTCAGGACTGCATCTGTCGCCTCCTCAGAAGAGCCTGCCAGACCTCCCCCCTCCAAAGGTAAGTTTTGTACATCCTTCACTTTCCTGGAGATCTGAACCCCTTGATGCTTCACTGTTGTCATGCACTGTGCAGCATGGCTGGATGCGGAGACCTCTGCCCACCTGAGTGAGTGAGGCAAAGAGTCCTGGTGAGGTTTATTTAAAAAATAATAATAAAATATTGAACTAGGGGTTTCCAGCTGTATGTTTCATCTTTATGTAGACTGCAGGTCAGTGTGTGGCTGGTGCAGGCCCTGCAGCTAGCTGGTGGCCGGGGATGGCTGGGCATCCAGAAACCCCCGTGGTTCCCAAGGCTTGTGCACAGATGGAGCAGGCAGCTGTGGGAGCCTTGGGCTTCCTGTGAGTGTGCAGGAGCACTGTGAAAATTGGGCTGTGTTCCCTGCTGGGGAGACCCACATCCATTGCGTGGCAATCCAGGCCCAAAGAAGGAGAAGTGAGGTTTTCAATGAAGCAAAGGTGACGGTGATTCTTGGCTGTTGCTTTGGAAATCTCCCCGGAGTGGTAAAGCAGCTGTGCCTGGACGGCTTTATGTGAACTTGTAAAAGTCAGAAATCCTTCAGCTGAAGGGTGCTGGGGTGGTCCCTGGGAAGGATCAGGATCTCCCTTGCTGGCAGAGTCCTCAGATTGGCCATTACCAGAGGTTTGCTTACAGTTGCAGCACCTGGTGCTGTCTCTGCATTGGTGCTGGTGTTATGCTGGTTGCACAGCCCACAGGTCTCCGAGGAGAAGTTTCTGGCACTGTAGGTTTTTCTGTAGGGCAGCTATAAATCAGTTAAACACCATCAGGTTTCAGTGAGATGTTGTCTTCGTGCCAGCAAGCCAGCCTGGCTGTTCTAGAGAGGCACGGGCCATCCTTGAGACCCCGGATGTTGTTGTTCAGCAGTTGATGCAATGTGGGAATTGCTGTAGCTGGGATTTCAGGATGTGAAAGGAAAGGAGAGCTGGGAGTATGGATGGGGAGGAGGGGGAGGCATGGAGGAGGATGGGATGGTGCATCCATCAACCACAAAGGAGGATCTGTTCCTTTCCCAGGGAGGAGGGCAGGGTGAGGCCCCAGGACTTTCGCCCAGAGGGCTGTGTCTCAGCTGGAGTTAACTGGAGAAGCTGGGAAAACAAGGGGGTAGGATGGGATGAGCTGACAAACCCCCGGATGCAGTGTGGTTGCCTGCTGGGAGCTGCTCCAGCCCCAGGGGGCTCTGCCCACGCAGCTGGCTGGAAATACAGTACTGGAGCTGGGTTTGCCTGGGAGCAGTGGGAGCAGTGACCAGAGCAGAAACTGTTGTTTGGCTTTGGGTTTTGTGGTGGGCAGGAGTACAGCAGTGTGGTGGAATGAAAGCACAACTGGGGAAGCAGCAGCATGTGTCTTGGGTGTCTGTAAGGCATTTCATTTGTGCTTGGTGCAGCCCTGCTTTCTGACTGGGCAATCAGGAAGTTAATGAGGGAATTGGAAAAGAATAGTCTTGGATTTGAGCTGAGAAGGGTACCTAAGCCACCTGTCTTCTCATAGACCTGTACTGGGAATGACCTTCTCCCACCTTCTTACCATTGGAGCTAACCTTCCTTGGATGCAGCAGTCATGCACCTCCTCACTGTGAGCATCTGAGTGGCAGTGAGCTGTTGGCAGCAAAGATATCTGAGTGTCCTTCAAGGAGCAGGGCTGGGGAGAGCTTTAATGTGTGGAAATTGCTGTTGGTGGAAAAATGGATTTTCCCTATCTGCATTTGCGGCTTCCAATGTGGGCAGGAGCGGAGGTGGAGGAGGGAGCACAACTCCTTACACAGAAACTGGGAGCTTAGGAGAGGCATTCAGATCAGCTCTGTGGAGTTTTCTGTGGCTTGGTGATGCTAAGGCACCCTGTGGTGTTGCTGCACACTTGTCTTTTGAGACACAGGAGAAATCTGGTGATAAAGCTCTGCACAGAAGATTGTCCCTGGTATCCGCTGACACCAGCAGTCAGTGGCCAACCCAACAGGGGTGGCCCAGCTGGATCCCACTAATTTCTTTGGATTTGTCCCAAAGCAACCTTTAAACAATGAGTTCTGCAGGCTGTGGCTCAGACATTGGTGACCTCTCCTCTGCAGCAGCTCCTTTCTTTTTCACAGCCATGCACAGAGAAAGTCACGTGGGGCGGATGTAGATGCCCAAGGTGGTTGTATTTGCGTGCTCATTGTGCCATAGTGCAACAGGCAAGGGCCAGCAAGGGTTCTGCAAGGGCCAGGATGGTTTTAAATGGCACAATATATACCCTTTGACTTAAACTAGAGAGAAAAACAACTCCACACTCTTAGAGAAAGAGAAGAGGAAAAAAATAGCTTCTGGGGCAGCTAAGGTGCAGTCCCACCTAGTCCCTGTTGGCTTCCATTGTCTGTAGGAAACAAAACAGAACAACCCCTTCCCTGACACTTGTGGGATGGTGTCAAATAAACCCACAGCGTTTCTTTGTGTAGGCAATTTGTTTATGGTCATAGCAGAATGTGAGCTGGCTACACGCAGGAGGCCACCACAGATGGCAATTACAAACACATTCCCTGGCCAGGGAAGGGATTAGGGAAAGCTTGGAGTGACTGGGTTTGCCTTTGTTTCTTTAATTTAACACATTAGGACAAGTTCCTAAACCTTTAAGTCTTTGCAGGGCAAGTGCTTTCCAGCAGTGTCCTACGTGGCTCCAGAATGCAAGCTCAGAGTCTGCTCACAGCATCTGGCAGACCCACGTTAAGGAGGAGTTTTTGTTCCAAAACACTAGAGAAGTTTGGGAAGTTGGCAGAGCCAGGGGCAGCTCACCCACATGGGAGCACACCACTCATGACTCTGGTGTGGTCAGGGTTCCTCGCTCCGACAGGCTCAGCAGCTTCCCTTCCTGGGCTGCTGCTGGCAGAAAACCTTTTCCTTCAAAGCTTCCTTTCTGCTTCTGGGCACCAGTAGCAGGAAGGTGTAAATGTCCAGGTGCACATGTCCAGGGCAGGTTGGGCAGCTCTGAACCTGCATTTGATGATACTGGCGTGCTGCAAATGGATTGATCTTGCCTTAAGCTGCTCTGACCTTCAACAGCTATGTGAAATACCTGAAAAGTAGAAAGTTTGTTTCTTAACTTCACTTTTTTTTTTTTTTCTCATCTGTTGGTATTTCTAAAGGATCAAGGCACCGTTTTTCCTGCCACTCCTTGCTTGTGTTTAGGGAGGGGTTTGGCAGGCACCACAGGGATTTTCCAGAACTTGGACTCCTTTCAAAGGCTTATTTTCCATCAGTGCTGTTTATCCATTTCCTTCATTTTTTGTTCAGAGCACAATTAAAAGCTCTTGATATAGTTCCTAAAGTGGAGATTTTTAGCTCTTGTCAGTCAGAGACTTGGAGTCACGACCAGCGACCGCTCAGCCTGCACTTTTAAGTGTAAAGCCAAGATTGCACCAATTGTTCTCCCTTCTGCTTCCCTGATAAGATAATCCATAGCACAGGGGATCATCCCCAGTTAGGATGAGCAGCTTGAGGGGGGGGGGGCAGTGCAGCAGGCAGAAGTCCCAGTCCATGGTAAGGCCAATGGGTTGCAATTGCTGCTGTGAGTTGATCTTCACAGGGCTTTCAGCAGTATGAAAGAAAGTAACATTTATGACACAATTATACAGTAATTTCAAAGAACTTCTTTATATTTGAGCTAACTGTACCACATCCTGGTGTACACATCTAAAAGATCTCATCTACTGGGATGCACTTGAGTGCTAAAAAACAAAGAGTGCCCCATTGTTTTCCAGGATATGTTTTTACCTTAAATCATTTTTCTCTTCTGTATTTGTTTTGCAGATGCCTGAAACAAAACAACCTCCAGTCCCCAAAATCGAATCCCCAGAGGGATATTATGAAGAGGCTGAGCCATATGACATCTCTGTAAATGGTATATCGTAAAACTCTTGGGGGCAGGGGTTCGTGTGGGAGATGGAGGACTTGAGGTTTATAAGAATGAGTAAATGAAAGCACAGACATTTCTTACAGCTTATGTGACAAGTTTGTTTTCTGCTGCTCATCACACTTGGTATTACAGATCTAATGCTAGTTGGAAAACAAAGACTGCTGAATTACTCAAATTTTAACTTTCCTGTAGAAGTAAGTGGTGTTCTTGGGTCAGTATAACATCGGTGTAAAACATTACGAACCATTCGGGTTCTCTTTGCCTTGATGTTTTTCTGGCAGATAGGCTGTAGTCTAACACAAGTTTCTATTCAGGGGTGAGTGGTGAAGCTGTGGTGGCTTGCATTCATGTCCTAGTGCTCTAATTGTCCTCCTGGGGCTCAAAGTGCATGGCTCTGCTGGTCTGTGAGGAGTGATAACCGTTTTTATAATTGGCTATTTATTCAGCTCTGTCTCTTGTGGCAGTTTAACCAAAAGCTACGCTCCGTGTGAGGGGACAGCGTGTGTGTTCCCTCCGCACACACTCTCTGCCTGGGTCAGCACCCCCAGCCATGTCCTCAGCAGTGCCACCCACACCTGTCCCCTGTGGGTTCCCCACCCCTGTGGAGGAAAAGGCTGCATGCAGGCTGAGCTCCCAGATTCTCACTTTTTAAGATGAGTTCCTGCATCCTTCTTTTGATGAACACCCGTCATGAGAGATTGCCTTCCTCTGATCTGATGGCAGAGCTGATCTCCTCATCGCTTTGTAATCCATTTAAGCACAAATGAGACAGATTGTATCGCTCTGCTGCAGAAGCAGATGTCTGCTCCTCAGCCTCGTCTGCAGCACAGTGCGTGGCACGGGGCAGAGCTGAGCAGGGGAGAGTTGAGGCAAGCAAAGAAGTGAGAGTTCAAGGGTAAAAGATTTGGATCTAAACCCATGGCTGTTGAGTCTGAGCTGCTTTTGAGAGAAGCTGAGTCCTCTGCAGCCCCAGTGTGCACCACTGGGCTTTGAAGCTCCCTGGCAGGGAAGCACCAGCTGTGCCACTGTTGGAAGTGGCCGAGGGTTGATGAATCTGAACAGCCCTCACTGCCTGTGAGCACCTTGCACCCCAGGACAGCTCATATCTCAGCATGGGTCGCTGTTCTCATGAGGACTTACAGTGCTAAACAAAACGAGGGAGATGTGAAAAGATCTTCATTTGACCGAACCATCCCAATTTGTCTGCAACTGCATTACAGCAGTGAACAGGAAGACAGACCCCTGCTCAGGTGAGAAAAGATGCAGGCTCATTGTGGCTGGGGTGCAGAGGAGAAGTCCCCCAGCTCTGCCATGTGTTTTGCTGAAATGCTCTGGGTTGTTTGGCTTGAGGTGAGGGCTGTGATGCACAGGGCACAGGAGGTGAAGCTCTCTGACATTTCGGGCAGCACAAGGTGCTGCAGCCTCATCCCCATGGCAGGAGATCCCAGTTGCCTGCACTGGAAGATAAATGGAGGGGGTTTTTTCCCCCCTGCTGCACACCGGGGAAGTGGATAATGTGTTAAGAACCATGGCAGAAAAAGACATATGCTGGATTAGCTGGAGTACAGCCCTGGATCCATGTGCTGGGATACCCAGTTTACGTTGTCCAGGCAGCTCCATAAACCCTCCCTGAGTTCAGAGACTTGGCTGGCAGGAGCGATAAGCACACACACACAGCTTCCACCTCTGCTTTTCCTTGGTAACCTGCTGCTCAGAGGCACAAATACACTCACCATCCACTGAAATCTAGGCCAGTCAGATGCCTAAGGAAATGGTAATTTAGAGTCCTGCAAAAAGGGAGGAAAGCTCATGTGATGGGAGCACTGTCAAAGTGAGGCAGCTCTGGGTGCTGATGGGTCTCTCTGGGGCTGCTGTGAACTGTTGTACCAGTGGGCTCAGTGTTTTACTGAGCAGTGACACAGCTGTAAGTGGAGATAGGAGCCTGTGAAGCCAGCAGGGATGGGATGTAGGATTCCAGGCAGCCTCTCACCCCTGACATGTGTGGTGCCTTTGCCTCCTGTGACTGCTCAGCCGCAGGTCCCCTCTGCAGGCCCCAGCAGGTCCCTCCTACACAAACCTCCGGGTGTACTACAATGCCGATGGCTTTTAAGGTGGTTTGTGTGAGAAGGAGGGCAGAACTGTGTCACTGAGAGTCTCTGTGCTTTTTGGCAGCTTCATGTTTGAGGTGGTGCCTTGGGCTGAGCCAGAAGGAGCAGGGAAAGATGTGGAGCAGCAGGTGTGCAGCAGGAGGAGACTGGAGGGGCTCGGGAGAAGGTGAAGTGTGGTGTGCTGTGCAGAGAGGAGGCAGGGCAGCAATGCTGGTGCCCCAGTTTGCCTTGAGATCAGGCTGCAAATCCCATGGTGCATGGGCAAACCCGCAGGTCCATGTCCTGCCCTTTGTTTCAACAAGCACAACTTGACTTATCAAGTGCTGATAGAACCTTGTACCTGTCCTACACAGAGTGATGCTCATTGCTAGCAACTGCCTTGGGACCTTGGTGTGACTGCTGTTGCTAAAAGGCAGTCTGAACATGCATGGGTTTGCCCTGCCCAAAGATGCCAAAGCCTGACCCCAGTAACCCCCCAAGCCTTCTGTGCTCACCCCCCTTTCCCCACAGGCTGGATAGGGAAGGTGCCAGCAGTCCAGGGAGCTGCTGGTGATGTTTCATAGAATGGCCTGAGCTGGAAGGGACCTTAAAGATCATCTAGTTCGAGCCCCCCTGCTGTGGAAAGGGGGGCTTTCCAGACCAGATTTGCTCAGAGCCCCATCCAGCCTGAACACCTCCGGGGGTGGGGCATCCGCAGCTTCTCTGGGCAACCTGTTCCAGTTCCTTATCACCCTCACGGTAAAAAAAAAATTTTTAATATCTAGCCTAAATCTACTCTCTCTCAGTTTGAACCCATTTCCCATTGTCCTGTCACTACATGATCTTGTAATAAATCTGTCTCCGATACAGTTTCCAGCAGTATTACAGCATGAGCCTTGGAAGACACCCATATGTCCCCAAACAAATGGGCGTAGTGAAATCAAACAAAAATAGGAACACCACTAAAATAAGTGGGTTCACTGCCAAGAAAGGACATCAAAGCAAGCTTCCAGATGGGCTGAGGAGATAGAGGTTTCGTGCAGCATCAGAGGTGGGAGTGCGAGGCACTGTAACAAACCGTGGGTGTATTAATTAAAATGAAGCAGGCAGGCGAGTCTGCTGGGTCTTGCAGTCCCTCTTTCATCAGCAGGATTCCCGCCTCTCCGCTGGGGATGCCTCTGCCTTTCATTTTACAGCTCCAGCAAATGCTGCTGCTTTCCCTCCCCTCCCTGGCTGAAATGTGTTAAATCGTTATCGCCCCCTTTGCATAATGGGAGGGTGCGATAAGAAGCGGAGTGAAAGCGCAAGGGGCGGCTGTGGCTGCCAGCTGAGCAATAATTATTCTGGCTGAAACAGCTCCTCTGCCCTGGCTGGTTTTAATTACGATGACAACGATTCAGTTTTAAAGGCAATCGCCTTGTTTGAGGGGATGGGTTGAAAATGTCCCTGTTTGAAGTCTCACCATCCATATGTTGTGTAGGGATGGGGCAGCCTCACTGGCCAAGGGGAGCCCGGGAGCTGAGCCGGATCGACACCCTTGTTCTCTGCATTTGCTTATCTGTGGCTTTCTCTCTTTGTCTCCCTTTCTCTTTCCTTTTGATTGTGCAGGTCTTTTTGGTAGGCTTGCTGCGGCTGGACCCCGGCCAGGGTTGCAGGTTACTGAGGGCGTTATTTATGCCACAATAACAATGGGTATGGCATGCTTTCCAAACCTAAAGTGCCTTATTTACAACAACAAAAAAAACTACCACCAAAAGATCCCCAAAAACTCAGTTTAGCAAAGGTTATTAGGTACCTCCCCCTGGCATTGCATGGAGGGTAACCACCTCTCCCCTCTCCCTGCCTGTTATATATACAAGGTGTTATTTTTATTGTGGCTTTCTCTGTGCTCAGGATGACAATGAAGAGAACTTCCCTAGCTTTTATTCCCCTGGTTCTGTCACTGATGTGGAGTTGATATGTGGTAACAGTGGTTGTATTGACAAGTAGCTGTTTGGTGAATGGCTGAAGGGGTAGAGGCAGCTTGGCTGTATTGAGAGGGTTGGAGCTTCCTGCTTCATGAATTTAGCTCCCTGGGAGGCCATGGGAAGACAAATAGAAAAGGAGAAGTGGATTTAGGTAAAGACACTCAAGGTCGTGGCTGCACTGATGACTTGGGACTGAATGAGCCTTAGTAGTGACCACAGTGTTGTCTCAAGTCACCCAGGCAAGGTTTGTCCCAGTTTGCCTTGTTACACATCCCGGTAAATGCCTTTCCATCATGAGGCCATAGCAGTGTCACCAGGCCAGCAATGACTGCAGCTCTTCAAGTAGAGAGGAGCTCATCTCTTGAGGAACCACACTTGAGGTTGTGGTTGATGCACGAAAGAGCAGCCAGGACTCCCACTGAGAACATGGAAGAAAACTGCTGTTCCCCCAGGAGAAAGGTGGCAGCCTGAGACCTAATGCCTGGGTGAGGGACACCAGGGACTCACAACAGGGGCCAGAGGGGCAGTAAGCAATAGCCCCATGTTGATAAGGAGGGACATTTAGAAGATGAGGTTTCCTTAGGCATCGTTGCTGCTGCTGCACATGGAAAGGGCCCTAGCAGAGGAGAGGTTCAGCTTCTTGGTGTTTGTAGGGTTGAGAAACCTCAACACTTTTATTTCATCTGAATTTCTGCACAGGGTGCCTGTGGACCAGGTCTGCATAGTGAGAGTGCATGAAAGGGGATAAAGGTTTCCCATAAAAGGTGGAGAGTTGGAGATGGTGAGCCAGTAGTGTGCTCCATTCAGAGACTGTGAAAGGGAGTATTTGCTTTTTAATAAGTTTAATTGATGCAGCTTTGATCACTTGGGGGATGTTGTAGAGTAAGATTTCACTGGGGATAAGGCTCTAGCTTTGTTACTGCATCTCAGTTCCTTTTATTTTAAGAAAAAAATAACACCAACTGAAATGTTTTTCACTGAAGCTCCTAATGTTTTTTTTTTCTTTATCTCTTTTCTGACTGCTTTTCCTCTTTTTAATTTCCACCAATCTGATAATATTACTTTTATGTAGATATTAAGATATGGTGAGAATCAAAATTAAATTCCAGTGAGAGAAACTTAACAATACTCCTCTGTGCTGTTTGGTAGGACAAGAATGCAAAACCTTGCACAGATGCTGCCCAAATCTTACCATCTTGCTCTGTGAGCTTATCTTGTGAATAAGAGCTGTACTGTAAATGCCAGCAGAGCATTGCAAATCCCCCTGCAGTCAGGGGGAACATTTTTAGTGTTTCTGATGAGTCTGGTATCAATGATCAGCTGAAAACTCCAATAACCTACAATACATTAGATCTGGGTATTGAAAATCCCAATTCATCCTAGTAACATAGCAGTCCTTTTAAGAATGGATTGCTGCTGCAACAGTTACTTCAAAGCCTCTTGCTGCCCCTTAGATGCTGAGTAGGGAGAGGGACCTATTAGCCCAGGAAAGTGGAATGGCATCTCAAATACAATAGATCCTTGCTTGCTGCATGGCCTGGCAAATACCATTTGTACTTCTGACATTCAGAGGACAAGGGCTGATTGTAGTTTGCTGTTGCCTTAAAAATTGTGAGTGTTTGACTTGAAGTGAAAAGTGTAAAAAGCATCTTTCTGGAGGCGGGGGAAGGAAGCAGCAAACATCAGAAAATGTCTAAGGGAATGTTCTCAAATTTGTGGTCAACTGAGAAGTGTCTTTTGAGCGTTTGCTAATGGAGGCTATTAGGCACAAAATACTGCTGTGAGATTCATATTGGGGTAGAAAGGGAAAAGAATCTATGAGGGTTATTTTCCTGTTTATTATCCTCCTGTAGGAGAGCCTCAAAAGACACATCCCTGCACTGGAAGCTTTTGCATGTGTGAGCATGGCTGAGGCAAAGCATTAGGCTCAGAGTTACTCTCAAAATGTATTTAATGATAGAGCTCTGCTTTTGTTATAGAAGATGGTGAAGCTGTTAGTAGTTCCTATGAATCCTATGATGAAGAAGAGAGCAGCAAAGGCAAGTCAGCAACCCATCAGTGGCCATCCACGGAGGCCACCATTGAGCTGATGAAGGATGCCCGCATCTGTGCCTTCCTGTGGAGAAAGAAGTGGCTGGGACAGTGGGCAAAGCAGCTGTGTGTTATCAAGGATACCAGGTTGCTGGTGGGTAGATCCTCTATTCTCTGCCTAAAACAATCTGTTTGCATGAGCTGGGGAGGGAAGGGGCACCTCAGGCCATGTTAAGCTGCCAGAAACAAAGTAGTTCTAGAAGCTGTGTTTCAAAAAAGGTGTCTCGGAGATCTAGGGATTCCATTCCATTTTCAGAAGGAATGTAGGCATGGGACTGCTCAGGGAGGCACAAAGATGCATTTGTGGCCAAAATTCCGATTCCCCAAAACGTCTAGGGACACTTTTTGGAGAAACTGTTTGAGGTGGTTAAGCAGAAGGGATGTTTATCCCACACGCTGACCACATACTTGACCCTCTAGCAGTGAGAGGTATTTCGGATTATATGTGCATGCACATAAATACGTGCACAGTCTGTGTACTTTGTAGGACACAGCTCTGTAAAACCTACAGGACCTTTTTGTGTTCAGTGTATTTAATGCATGTAGTTGGCACTAAGTCACTTATGGGGTTGAGTTCACACTGGTGAGTGAGAGGGAAGGCTCCTCCTCTGCCTCTCACCCCCTCCCATCTTCCTTCCCCAGTGCTACAAGAGCTCCAAAGACCACAGCCCTCAGCTGGACGTGAATTTGCTGGGCTGCACTGTCATTCACAAGGAAAAGCAAGTGAGGAAGAAAGAGCATAAGCTGAAGATCATTCCCACGAATGCCGACGTCATTGTGCTGGGGCTGCAGAGTAAAGACCAGGCAGAGCAGTGGCTCAGGGTCAGTGACACCCTCAGGACTTACCCTGCTGGTGCTGCCATGCTTTGCTTCGAGACTGTAGCTTATCTCAGCACTGTCCTTGTGTGCTCTGGCTCCCTTCCTCGCTGCAAGCCTTTATACAAATATACCACTTCATTTTCATGTCCTGGCATAGCTTCTTCCTGCAGCTCCCTGCCACCTTCAGCATGCTGCAGTCCATGTAGGGACCTCCCAGCACAGCTGCTGTGACAGGGGGATGTCTGGGGTGGATGCCCAGCATAAATAGGCTTAGGGCAGGGGTGGCAGGGGTGGCAGGGGTGGCCCTTCCCCTGAGGCAGAAGAAGGAGCCTTCATGGAGCCCAGGACAGCAGCAAGACAACTGAGCTGCCTTTGCTGGCAGCCTCTCCCAGCTGTCTTGGATCCAGCAGTTCCTGCTGGCTGCCTGCTGCAACACCAGGACAGACCCCAGGGTCACAGGAACTGTAAACTATGGGTTTCTCAGGCTGCTGGGTGGGGGAGAAGTATTAAACCTGTAGGTCCTGCAGCTCTCTGACAGGCTGTGGCTTCTCCTTCTGCACAGGTAATCCAGGAGACCAGTGGTCTGCTGTGCGAAGGAGGCGGTGAAGGCAACCAGTACATCCCAGATTCACAGCGCCTCAGCTACCCAAAGGTACCTCTTATATCTACAAAGAGAACTAGCACTAAGGCTTTTTAACCCTATTCCTTCAATAAATAATAGTGTAGGTATCCTGAATTTACCTGAGCAAAGACTGATATGAGTGTAATCAGACCCTTGTTCTGCTGAAAAGGAGCATTATTGGAACAATCTTAATTTTCCTTTGCAATCTTAATTTTTCTGCCTTATCTTTCCCCCTCAGACTGACTCAACATGTGGGTCCCCACCATACAGGGCAGCAGCCACTATCTCATCCAATGGGATGGTTGTGTTCACCAAGAGCTTTGGGAGGGCCAGAGACCCTTGGCCAACAGGGCTTGGGCCATCTCTATTCCAGGTTTAGGTGACACTACCCTATGAGCAGCTTGTTTCAAAACAGTGGGAGGAGAAAGAAACTTTCATAAGTCTCTGGTGCACACCCAAAATGGACCTGTTTGGGCACCTGGTCGGTTACTCTGCCCATGCCCCCTGACAGGGACTGCCAAATGCCCCCACCAGCCAGGCTGCAGGGTAGGAGGCCAAAGGGTGACATCAGTGGTGCCACCACGTCACCTCAGAGGTGAGCCCAGCTGGGGGGTGTGTGTGGTGGATCAGGAACAGTGGGAAGGGCACAGCGAGAGGGAGCCAGCAGGGCACGTGTGGGTGAAAGCATCTGCTAAAGAGAAGGTGGGGCTTTGCAATATAAGAGGAGGGGGAAAAGGTCCTTGTGGCACATTCTGTCTGGAGGAATGGATCTCGTGCATCTGCTGAGCTTGTGTCTGGTGTTTGTTGACAGGTGGAGGTGTCCGAGAGATACTCTGCAGCCTCCGAGAGCGGGAGCAGCACGGACGGCCACCCAGAGACAGCTGAGACAAAAGATGGTAAAACCTCACCCTGGGAATGACGGGGAAAATGGGCCCTTGACCCTGCATGAGATGAGGGTTTGTTTGTGTAGCCTTTTCTGCCACTGCCACCTCAAATAGACCTGATGTAGGGTGTGCACATTCACTGCCTGTGAATTTGACTTCGATTTGATTGTGAATTTGATTTCATTTTTCATAATGAAGTAACAGGTGGATGTTGAGGTTTCTCAGGATCAGGATAGGGCTTGAGAAACCTGGATGGGATAGCTGGTCTACCACAGAGTTCCTATCTGTCTCTGGGCAAGTCACTTTGTGACAGTTTGAGATGGCGTAACTGCCAACTGAAGTGACTTCCCTCAGAGATGTCTGCAGAGAAACATGGAGTCCTTTGTGAAATGCTGAGATGCCTCCGGTGGGAGGCTTACACCTTCTCACTAGGGTGAAGCTCTAGTGTGAAGGTGTAATTTAAGCTGGGACAGGTAAGTACAGTAAAAGAGGAGATGCTCTATTAGAAGGATGTGGGACCAATCTATATGTCAGAGAGAGATAAATCCATACTGCGAACCCACTGGAGTCACCCAGCAAATGGACTTCAGCTGCTGAGTCCCCCTTATGCTTGGACTTCATAATTTTGTTATGAAAGTGAGAAGGAAAATCTGGACTAAGAAAATCCAAGTCAATTCCTTACCAGGATTCCCTGATGATTACACAACCTTATTTACACACTGACTGATGTGCTCAGTAGGAAAATGCTGAAGAGTCTCTTTGGACGTAAATTTTCCCTCTCCCCACCTTGAACCCCTGTTTTATAGAAGGAAAGACGGAATGCAGTAAATGTTTATGGGTAATGGGTTTTAATTCAATTCTTTGTGGTATGAGAAAGTGAAAGGAGTTTTGTACAGCAAGACCCTGTGCAAAGAGCCTTCCTTAGGACAAGAGGGCACGGGCTTAAGCTCTGCCAGGGGAGGTTTAGGTTGGATATTAGAAAGAAGTTCTTTACAGAGGGAGTGATCAGGCATTGGAATGGCCTGCCCAGAGAGGTGGTGGATTCACCATCCCTGGAGGTTTTTAAGCTGAGGCTGGATGTGGCACTGAGTGCCATGATCTAGTAGTCACAGTGGGATTGGATCTCGGAGGTCTCTTCCAACCCAATTCTATGATTCTATGATTCCCACTGCCCCTGCAGTGACTGGCCTTTGGTCAGAGCTAAACCAGGTTAAAGCAATATAGATGAGAATCTTCAACAAATCACTAACTGAGCTTACTGGTGCCATCTCGATCATCGACTCCCTGGGCTTGGGACTGTTACAGCCTGTCCCTGAGTTGCAGGTTTGACCTCTGTGAGGGATGTGTGTGCTGTGGGTGCGGGACAGCAGTACAGGCAGCTTTGGGGCAGGACTCCCAGCTGGGACAGCAGGCTGTGTGTATGGCTGTGAGCTGGGAAAGCCACACATGTGTCTTTTTCATTTCTGGTAGTTAAGAAGAAGGGCACAACTGGCCTGAAACTGAGCAACCTGATGAACCTCGGGAGGAAAAAGTCCAGCTCCATGGATAGCCCAGAGAGATCCTTGGAGACTTCAAGTAAGTGGTAGCATGAGCCCCTCTGCAGGGACCTGTCTCAGGGCTGGATCTCAGTGTGCAGGGCAGGATGAGCACCAGGCATCATCCTCCTCAAAAATGCCTGTGCCAGACTGTCCTGCTGTTGGCAGCAAAGAGGCCACAGTCTGCCAATAAATCCATGCAGATTGTGGTGCCTTGTGCACATTAAGGTGACTGCTGGGCTTACAAGGGCAGGCCATAGCTCGCAGGGTGACCCAAGAGGAAGGGCAGGTAATACCAGACATACACACAGAGGGTATCTGTGCTGCTCTTCCTTAGCACCAGCCCAGGCTGTGGGAGCCAGCAGGGAGACAGTTGTGTGGCCAGCTGCTATTTCACAGTCTGGGACCAACTTCCAACCACTGCAGCCAACTTGCTGCTCCAAACCTAAGCTGAATTTCAAGGGTCTCATTTTGAAAATATTTTTGGTTTTCTCCCTGTTTTGTATGGATAGGACAGCTTGCCTTTGTGCTTTTGCTCTTTATTTTTGCCTGTGGCTTTATGTCATGTAGTGGTCTGGTAACTTACCCATTAGACATCTCAAAAACGAATTTGGGTGTTCTCATACGGAAAATATGTCTAAGTGAGCTGTTTGCTTGCAGGTTACCTGAATGTGCTAGTGAACAGCCAGTGGAAGTCACGTTGGTGTCAGATAAAAGATGGTCACCTCCATTTCTACCAGGACAAGAACCGAAGCAAACTGGCTCAGCAGCCCTTGAGTCTGGCAGGTTGTGAAATTATCCCAGAGCCAAGCCCTGATCATCTCTACTCCTTCCGCATCCTGCAGAACGGGGAAGAACGGGTCATTTTGGAGGTAGAGTGTATATGTGCAAGAAAGCTCTGCTTTAAGTCATCAGCTTGGGTACCTTAGTAGGTCTAAATGCCAGTGAGGTCCTCCAGAGGAGCCCTCAGTCCAGCAAAACAGAACCTGAAGTGTGGGACTTGGGTTCATCTGCCTGTGGTCACCTAGGATGTGTCCCATCTAGCTGGTAATCCAGGCTTTGTCTGACGCTGTCTCATCTTAAAATGGGATAAAGAGTCCCTTGGAGATGCCCGTCTTTCTCCTTGAATACTTAAGTTCTGTGGACTGCATTCCAGATGGTTAATGTTAGATAAGAAAAATGTCACTTTAGGGATTTAAGTCTGTGGTTAGGAGGAACCGAGAACTTCATCTTTTGACAACGCAGTCCCAAAGCCATGGGTCATGCATCCCAAGTAAACTGATCGCAGATCTGATCCTGAAAGTGCAAGTGAATTCATCTCCATCTGTTACTTTCCTTTGCCTGCATCCAGGACTGTTTATCTCTAATCTTAGTTCTCTCTGACGACAGCATGATTATAGTAGGAGGTGGACAATGTGAGCAATTTCCTGTATTTTTCCAGTGGGTGGAATATTTATAGCTAAACAACTGACTTTGAGGGCATGCCGTGAAATTGGAAGATGGTTTTGTTTAGCTTCTGGTGCAGGGTATGTCTGTATCTAAGAAATTTTGCCCAGTTACAGATGTGAAGAAGAGGTGCTGAGAAAATTTACATTTTGTGAATGAAAGAATCTGTATTTTTGTTGGGATGTCAGACTCAATGTCAGACTCAATGTACAGACTGGCTGGCTGGCAGGCTTCCCAGGGACTGAAGTCTCTGCTAAATAAAACAGATTGAAAGCTTAAAATATGCTTTCCACTTTGGAAAGTATATATATATATATATTCCCTTGCCCTGAATTTTACTTTGTGCTCACTGCTCTGACTCCTCAAATCAAAGCAGAAGGTGGCTGCATCAGCCCACTTCTTGCCTCAAGTAGAATCCCCTGCTACCAGGAGGTGCACGTGGCTATTTACTAGAGCTGACTTCAAGGCACAGTATTTAACTCTTCATGTTGCAAAGTGTCAAACTGCTCACTGCAGCTGGGAATTTGACCACCTTAAAGCAAGGGACTCTCTCTGATGCTTTAAACAATTCCCTGCTCCTCTCCCCTTGTGCAAAAAGCCCTGGACGGGGTTTGGGCTCTGGCACCAGGACCTCACAGGCTCGGGTCTCCTTGCCTGCCTGTTTTGGCAATCCCATTGCTGCACTCTGCTGGCGCAAAATAAAACCCACACCCAAAGCTGTTCCCAGCCAGCATCTCCAGCCACAGAGACTTCTCTTACTCTTGTAGGCAGCTGAGTTATCACCAGCGAAAGGAAAAATGCAGACTGACTAGAAACTTTAGGAAGGAGTAAAGCAAAGAGCTGCACGTGTGTAGCTGCCAAATTTGTGAATCAGTCCATACCCAGAGCACCCTCAGGTATATTACAAATACCCTGCAGTTCATCTTTGTCCTTGCAAGCCCAGAGAACTGCCAGCCTGCTTCCCCACCCAAGGCTTAGCCAACATTAGTCTTGTGAATGCAGAGAAACTGCTGCTGCAGCCTGTCCTGTCTGTCTGCTCACCCTGTAGGCAAAGTCCTCGGAGGAAATGGGCCACTGGCTGGGCCTCCTCTTGTCGGAGTCAGGTTCGAAAACAGACCCAGAGGAATTTACCTACGATTATGTGGATGCTGACAGAGTTTCCTGCATTGTGAGCGCTGCGAAGAATTCCTTCTTGTATGTCAGTGGTAATGGGTTGGGGCTGCATGGGGCTGGAAGCAAGGCTGAGCAGGGGTCTGTCCACTTGTGGGAGGCTGGCTGCTGTGGGAACAGGTGGTAAATTCACAGCTACCGCTCAGTCCCTTCCTTTAAAAGCTTGGTGTGTGATAATAAGGGCACTTATTGTCCTACTGTGGTGCATCTAGACTGAGCTGCAGCTTGGCTTGGGGATAGAGGCACGTGCCCTGATGGCTCTTGCAAAGGCAGGCTCGAGGGGTGGCTTGGCTGGGGGGTGCAGGGCTCTGGGCACTGGGGCAGGGTGATTGCACTGCTGTGGTGGTGCTGTGCCCAAGGGCTGGGCGAGAAAGGAAAGAGTGGAGGGGAAATGCAGCTCCACTCTGGTGGGCGCTGCTTGACGGGCACCAGGAGCAGCGATCACACCGCTCGCGTGGCTCTGCCTGCCCGTCTCCTGCATCTGGTCTGCGCGGCTCTGCCCGGACCTCAGGCCTGCTCTGCCAGGATGTCCCAAAAAGCAGCACTGCAGAGCCACACAGCAAGTGTGATCCCTCTTGATGGATGTCTCGCTGCCTGTTCACAGCCTCATGCAGAGGAAGTACTCAGAGCCCAACGCCTACATCGACAACCTGCCCAAGGGCCGGGTGCAGCAGGACGAGCTGTACGATGACGTGGATCTGCCAGACCTGCCCGTGGTAAGATGTCCAGGGCCACAGGCACAGACCCTGCTGCAGTGAGCTCTGTGGGGACCACGGGCAAACATCTGGCCATGGGGAGTCTCCAGCGGTGAAAGGGGAAGTTTTTCCCAGCCGTGATGAAGGGGATTCCCAGACCCTGGGGAAATCCTGGCTTTTGCAATGGAGCAGAAGCAAATGCTGGAGAGGAGTTTCTAGGGAACGGGGAAGAGGTTTCCAGGAAGGTGCTGTAGGTAGCTGGGATAAAGTTTCCATCAGCAAACAGCCAGGATTATTTCATAATAGATAGTGGGGTTTTGTTGCCTGTAGGAGCAAGGTCTGTGTGTCTTCAAGCTGAGCAAGAACAATGGGTCATGCTGGAATAGGGCCTGTTATCCCAGGAAAGGCAAAGAATCTGGCAGGGGTTGCTGGACATACAACAGTGTGAGATACTTGCCTGGGGCTGCTGCTACCATCAGAGACCTAAAGAAGGAGAACAGCAGGGGCCTTCGCTTCAGTACACCAAAAAGCCTTGCATGGAATGACGTAGACAACAGGGGTTTAGTTTCTCCAAGGTTTCTGGAAAATACTCCAGCTTGTTTGAGATACCACTGCTCTGCAGCGAGATGTTTCTTGTACTTCTGACTGCAGCAGATGGTCCCTTTTCAGGGGAACATTCTCCTTTTTCAGGAAGAAGTACCCAAGAATGAGAGCAAATTGGAAGGGGACCAAGACAGAGTGTATCTAGATCTCACCCCAGTAAAGTCCTTCCTTCACTGTGCTGGCAGGATGTCATGCCAGCCTTCACCCCTCAGCTCACCATCTTTGGAAAGGGCTGCCAGCAAGGCTGCTGCAGAGAGCACAGCTGAGACAGCCCTCGTGGCTAAGGAAGCCGAGCCCTGTGCCAAGGCGATGGAGCCCTCGGAGCAGGTACTGTCCAGACTGTGGTGCAGGGCCAGGCTTGATCAGCAAGCTGGCTCCCCCCACCACATCATCCCACTTCCTCTCCCCTCCCCAGAAACACCCAGAGAAGCCAGAGCCCGAGGAGGGGCTGCCACGAGTGCCTGCTGTCAAAATCCAGCCCCAGCAGCAGAACATCGCCTTCCCCCAGCCAGCCCCCGAGGTGCCAGCGGGCCCAGTGCCAGCGGGCAGCCCCCAGCTGGTGCCTGCACACCGGCCCAAGATGCCACTGCCAGGTGAGTGGGCTGCACAGGTGGCCAGGGAGTGCCTCAGCAGCAGGGGCTTGGAGGGAGGTGGCGTCCTGTGGTTTGGCTGCTGCTGTAGAGCAGCTTTACAGTGCCCGAGGGGCTGATGAGTCTCCTGGTTGGTGAGTTTCCAGACCCTCATGTGTGTTGTTTCCAAGCACCTGGAAAGGTTTCCCTCCTGGTTTTTTCCCCCCTGGCTGAGCTTGCTTTGGTGTGCTGTGTTTCCAGCAGCAGCAGTGGAAACCAAGCTGGGCAAGAACAGGACGGAGGCGGAGGTGAAGCGGTTCACAGAGGAGAAGGAACGACTGGAGAAGGAGAAGGATGAAATCCGGGCTCAGCTCACCCAGCTACGCAAGGAGAGGCGGGAGCTGAAGGAAATGCTTGGGAGCAGCACAGGTAGAGCAGGGCAAGGTGTGATGTGTGGAAATGGGCCAAGGGACTGCGGGGAAAGGGGGCGATGAACCTGGCCTACCTGGGACCAGAAGGGGCGGGGGGAACGTGGTGCTTTGAGTCAAACCATGTAGCCCAGGTTGCACTAGAGCAAGAACTTGCTCTGCCACAGTCCCTCTTAGGGCAAAACATAAGGAAAAGGTACAGGACATGCCCTAGTCCCTCCTCCCCTCACGAACTCCCCGAGTTCCCGGCAAGCACCACAATACCCCTCCTTTCACAGACAAGAGCCTGGAGCAGAGGCTGAAGGAGATAGACGAAGAATGCAAAAGGAAAGAGAGCCAGAGGGTGGACCTGGAGCTGAGCCTGGTGGAGGTGAAGGAGAACCTGAAGAAGGCAGAGTCTGGCCCAGTGACACTGGGCACTGCAGTGGACACCACACACCTGGAGAATGCAGCCCCACGGGTACGTGGGGGGCACCCCTGGGATGCACAGCAGCTCTCTGGAAGCCAGGCAGTCACACTGTCTGAGCCTGCTTAATAATGATTAACAATAATGTCAGTATTATAATATGCAATCTTGTATAAATGTATAGCTTATTTGTCTTATGTAAGTATTATGTTAATTATATATAATATGCGTAATGTTATAACAATCTAAGGAGGTAACAGCAGTGTTGGAGACGCGAAAGGTGGTTGGGGCTCGGGAGAGTGGCTCTGTTTTGCTGACCTTGAGCAACACCCTCCAGGACTGTGCAGGTGTGGACCCAGCTCCTTCTGCACTGACCTGAGCCAAGGGGTGATTTTTGCAGGAGGAGCTATAGGCATTTAAATTCTTCCTTAGGAACTCGGTTCCCATAAAATGGAGATGCTCACCACCCAAACCTTGCTCTGGACCTCCGCCTGAGTCCTCAGCACCCAAACACACCACACACAAACATCCTGGTGGATTTTTGAAATTTGGCATGTCACTTAAAAAACACGCCTTGGTGCATAGATTAGACTGTAATTAGGAAATGGTGGGAAAAGGCAGCAGTCTTTCTCAGTAGTTTATAGTCATCACCGTCTCTACGATTTTTATTGTAGATTCAGGTAAAAAGTGCCAGCCCAGCAAACAGCGCAGAGAACTCACCCGTCA